GTCTCCAAATCCAAGCTAAATCAAATGGGTTCCAAGACCACACTTCAGCAAAACGAAGGCAGGGGACACTACCACGGTTGGATGATCTTCAATTTTGGATATGTTATAAACAAAACAATTTCGAGCAAATTCCGTGAAGCAATCACAACCATCCGGGAATCATATATTGAAACCAAATGCAGAAACCGAATCTGCAGAGACTCACCAGCCATGGATGAGCACAGAAGCTGCGAACTCGTTTTGAGGCATCAGAAAAATTCAGAAAAATCCACAAATTTCACAGACTTTAGTTCTCGAGTAGATGAACAACTTTCATGAAGGAAGTTTTCTGATTGGAGCTTCCGAAATATGACTTCTGGATTTCTGAACAGTGCCCTCGGTTTTGGGTCTTGAAGAAGAGTGAGGAAGCAGCAAATCACATAGGAAGGCTTGGAATATTGGTGTGGAATAACAAGTGGAGCAGATTAAGGAAGAAATGCTGAGATGTTTAATTCAAATTTGCTTTGGGGTGGTTTTGGCATTATTTTATGGGAAGAGTCTAATGGGTTTGAGACATGTGCACCATAATATGTGAAAAAGCTTTGGGTTCTTCCTTTAGCCGTTGGTGTTGCCCATCTTGAGAAAGAAACTTCTCTTTCTTTTTATTTGTTTATGTTGCAAGTGGATAGGTACATGTCGACAACAAGTGACTCCCAATGCAAATTGTGAGTTGCAAAGTGATGGGTTGCAACATGTGGGATGCAAAGTTGTGGGTTGCAACATGTGGGATGCAAAGTTGTGGGTTGCAACATGTGGGATGCAAAGTTGTGGGTTGCAACATGTGGGATGCAAAGTTGTGGGTTGCAACATGTGGGATGCAAAGTTGTGGGTTGCAACATGTGGGATGCAAAGTTGTGGGTTGCAACATGTGGGATGCAAAGTTGTGGGTTGCAACATGTGGGATGCAAAGTTGTGGGTTGCAACATGTGGGATGCAAAGTTGTGGGTTGCAACATGTGGGATGCAAAGTTGTGGGTTGCAACATGTGGGATGCAAAGTTGTGGGTTGCAACATGTGGGATGCAAAGTTGTGGGTTGCAACATGTGGGATGCAAAGTTGTGGGTTGCAACATGTGGGATGCAAAGTTGTGGGTTGCAACATGTGGGATGCAAAGTTGTGGGTTGCAACATGTGGGATGCAAAGTTGTGGGTTGCAACATGTGGGATGCAAAGTTGTGGGTTGCAACATGTGGGATGCAAAGTTGTGGGATGCAACATGTGGGATGCAAAATGTGGGTTGCAACGTCCTGGGTGCAAAATGGTGGCTTCAAAGAGTTGGCAGGATCCAAGTCGAAGTCTTGGCATCTTATGCCAAGGAGTTGGCTGGAAATTGGAAGTCTTGGCTAAAAGATGGTTTGGACATGAGATGACCCACGTGGGAATGCTTGGATGGTTGGCTGCAATTTGTTGGCTGCAAATTGTGGGTTGCAAGAGGTTGGCTGCAAGGAGTTGGGTGGAGGACAAGGTGCGGCCAAGCTTGGAATTCTTGGAAATAAGATGGGCTAAAAAGTTCTTTATCTCAATATATGTATATTATAGGAAGAAAGTTGGCCAAAGTATTGAGAAAGTTGGCCAAAGTGTTGGCTGAAAGGTTCTTTGTCTTATTTTATTTTTTATAAAATTAATCAAAGCCTAATGCCAAATGCTACCAACGCCAGACCAACATTCATGCAAGATCAAGTAAAAGGCTAAGATGTCTGGTTGAGTGAGGAACCCACACGGTCAGCATCCAAATATTGGGAGTTCACATGTCACTTAACGTTGGTGATAGCCTTAACCAAGTTAGAAGCTCCAAGTGCGCAACTTCTCACCAAGTGTCAAATCAAGTCCAAAGCTCAGCCTAGGAAACTAAGTTCAGAAGTTCCAGCAGATGTTTCCAGCAGATGTTTTCCTACAAGTGGCGGAGTTCAAAGACAAGAAAGCATTAACATCGGGAGGATTTCCAAGACATCGGGTAGTACAAGTGACAGAGTTTAAAGACAGGAAGACATTAACATTGGGAAGATTTCCAAGACATCGGGTAGTTCATGCATGGAGCTCCGGAAAGCATTAATATTGGGAAGATTTCCAAGACATCGGGTAGTTCACGCCTAGAGCTCCGGAAGACATTAACATCAGGAGGATTTTCAAGACAAATGAGTTTGATGGCCAAACTCATGAGCTGAAGGATCTCTATAAATAGGTCATCAGAAGAAGATAGAAGGACCTCCGACTCAACACACAAAATCTATCTTTTCATCCTGTACTTTTCAATTCATAGTCTAGAATTTTATCTTTCAAGTTTTTCAGATTATCCGAGTTCTTCGTTTTCCTAGTGTAAGCTTACATTCTTGCAATTTAATTTCAGTTGTCTTTACATTCGAATTTAATTCAAGTCTTTATCGCTTTAATCTATTTTATCGCATTTACATTTCTGTCATTTCATTTATCGCACTTACATTTCTCGCATTTAGATTTTTGTCATTTCGTTTACTGCATTTACATTTTATTACACTTATCACAAAAATCCTAAAAATATTCATACAAAGCTCAATCATCCTTGACCTCAAGGAAGAAAAAGAACCTAGGCCAAGAGGAGGTTCCTTGCTTGGCCGATCAATCGTTTGATTAAAAGTTAGAAGCGCAAACACATTCACACGATCTTTCCATCCAAGCCATCAAGTGGCTTGGTGGTGGCACGCCTATGCATCTCAAGAGAAGAATGACCAAAAACTCCTTCCGTCGGCCTACCCGGCCGAAAAGAGGGAAACACGAAGACAAACATTAATTGATGGTTGGGTTTCTGACCTTTAATGTGCCTTCTTCCACTGAAATTTCTAACACCTCCAGATTGGTACAGTTCAAAAAAGGTTTCGGATTTCCAGTAGAGTTGTCACAGATTATTTGGAACCAGCCGTCGTTAATGTAACAACCTGTTCCAATTCCAAAAGGATATGGGATTTCAACGCCCCCCAATTCGATTGACAGTTAGGCCTTGATATGGGGGGTTGTGCTAGTACTGGACTACTCATAGACCACCAGAACAGAGAAAACAGAGTAATATGGGAAAGCTACATGACAACCATTCTGCATTTTCTTCTTCTTCCTCTTCCTCTTCTTTTTATCTATCTCAATTTCTAGTAGGAAGCTTGGAGTTAGCTCGGAAACCCAATGAATCTCAACTCCCAACCTTGTGCAGAACAAATGTAAAGAAGGTGTAGAGATAGTAGTTAGTTCTCTGCACTTTCCTTGTGCTTGGTTTTCTGCATTGCTTGAATACTTTTCCCTTAAGTTTTTCAAAACCTACACTCATCCTTTGATTACACCCACCCAGTCAATTCTCCATCAAACTTGGAAAATATAATATCAATGCTGTTTTCCTATGTTATCTTCACAACAAGAGAAGGACCGTATAAAAATCATGCTGTTTCTTGTTGCTGCTTGTCTTCTAAGCAGCCATACTTGACAACGAAATGATAAAAAAAAAAAAAAGGGAACTTTGAGAGTGAAAGGCTGACTTTTTTTTCGAGAAGTTCCATTGATAGTCAAAAAAATTATATTTACAAAAACTGCCCAAAAAAAAAATATATTATAAGGCGCTGAGCATGCTTTGAATTTATAATCAAGTTTGTATTGGCTGGAAGATGTTTTTCAGTCTTTTAACTCAAAAAAAAGGAGGATACTACTTGATTCCTTAGACAAATAACTTTTATACGCTCTAAGAGCGTCCACAATCATGCTCTCTCTATTTTAGTTAAATTTTAGTTAAAAATATATAAAAGTTATTTTATGAACTCTCTATAAGATTTAAACTCCAATCATGGTCTCTAGTTTAGGAGTCATAAATGCTAACTTTTTTTTGATTGGTCCATCTCTATTAAAAAAGAAAAGATAAAAAATAGTTAGCACTAAATAAAGGTTTGAAATACTCATTAAATAAAACAGCATTAAATTATAGGGAGCCACTAAGAGTCATTTATCTTTCCTCAGATTTAGGAGCTCTTAGAGGTCTCCCTATTTTAGGAGGTGGATAGGGAGCATGGTTGGAGTTGTATTTTTACAATTCCTTCCTAAAATTTGTCTAAGGAGGTGGTTTAGGGAGGCCATTGTGGATGCTTTTATACCCCTCCCTATAAATCACAGTTTAACACAAATACAAAAACAATTCATTAAAAACACAAAAAGAAAAACTTATGCACACATGTCACACTCCTATTGGCAGAAATGTAGGAAGTATCGTATTTTTCAAAAAGTATATACAAAACAAAGCCTACATTAAAGGCCCATATGAACAAGTAGGCCCAATTGTAAAACATTACCGAGCCCAAAACAAGCAAAGGCTCAAATAAACACAGCAGAACCCAACAAAGTACAAACCCAACACAAGGATGGAGGGGTGAGAGAAGACCCAAGCTCACACTACGTCCACGGTCTTAATAATTCGGACATTTTCATATATTCAATATTTTCGAAATCAATCCTTATCTTCTTCACCAGAAGATAAATTTTGTAGCTCCATCCAAGAATGAACCCTCATGCACCACAACATGCACCACCAATGAGTAGAAATAATAGCCCCACACCACTGCCAGGATGCCATCACCTGAATATATTGCCCAATACAATAAGAAAGTATTTTTAGTTTTGTTATTTTTGTTGTTTTAGATTAATTATTCTATATATAGGACATTCGTTCTTTAAGAACCGTGTTGAGAAAATCTCATTTCAACACAAAGTGATCCATTTGTTGACATGATTGATTGTCTATGGTATAAAATCACCATTTAGAGCTTAAACTTTATGATGGCTTCAATTTTAGGTTTTATGTTTCAGATTTGATACTTCAAATCTAAAATCGAAACTTTAAAAGATTATTCTATACCATAAATAATAAATCTTGTTAAAGTTGAATAAAACTGATTTTAAGTAAGATTTTCTCTACACGTCGGTTCATTCTTTGTGCAGAAACAATCTCTAATTCATATATTATGTAAATATATAAGTTATTAGTAAGCGTCAAAGAAATTTAACATTATAGGTTTCTTTAATAATGTACATATTGTAAGGGGACAAAGGCATACCTATAAGGAGCACATTAACCCAGGACATGCTATGTGGGGAGTGGCATTCATAATACCCAACATGATTCTTGCATACGGTGTCTGCGGGACAAGAGTTCCCAATCTCGCACTCATTTTCGTCTGGAATATGATTTAATTAAAAGATCAAAATTAATCATGTTAAATATAGATCACCTGCTCACTAATTCAAAATTCAATCCAAAAAAAAGAGTACAAAATTGAAAGACATTTGTTTACCTTGACATCCCTGTAGAAGATATGGATTTCCCTCATAGCCCGCATTGCAGGAACATTCAAGCCTGCTTGAGGATTTATATATTGAAGATCTGCCACCATAACTTCTGCAATAAAAGGAGGACTCAGAATCTACGACTATGGGATTTACTTCTACAACGGCTCCAAATACATCGATCGTCGAATGGTATAAGCTCCATTGTAGCATCACAGGAACATGTTCCATATGATGGATGGCAGAAAAATTATTTATTGAATTTCTGGTAAATCACTTGAACCAGTCCTGGTCTACAAAAAATGCATAATTGCATGAACTACTTGTGGAATCATGAACCTGGAAACTAGTATTGAAGGCAGAGAGAAACCAAGGGATGGGAGTCTGGCAGAAATCAACACCCTTCTTTTTCTCATTTGTCGAAAAGTTGTCACATTCAGGCCTGCAACCGGCTGAAATGGTAGAGCCGTTTGAGTCTGAGGTGATTGTGGCCATAACGCCGCAACCCATTGCAGTGAATATGTTCTTGTGGGAGAACACAAAAGGGCTTCCCTCCAAGTTGGCCGCTTGGAGATTTGGGTTGTTAGTATTGCAGTTAGACGAGAAGGTAATTGGGTTTGCTACATTTAGTGTGCCTTTAACAGAAATTTCTAGCACCTCTAGATTGATGACGTTCAAGAAAGGTTTGGTTGAGTTGACACATTTTATTTGAAATCAGTCGTCAATGTAGCAACCTTCTCCAATTCCAAAAGGGTATGGGATCTCCACTTCACCGCAGCCAAGGGCGGAGCCACACTAAGGGCTACAGTGTGATGTAGCCCAATGTGGTTTTTGAAGAAAAAAATATAAAACCTATATATTTTAACTTATTTTCAATATTAGCCTAGCTAGTAGCGGTGTACAAATGTACAGATTACCTTATTTCCATCTTCAACATTTAAGTAAATGTCTTTGTCATTTTACTTTTATTTATTTTTATATTACTCCATTTACTTAAGTTTACAATGTAAATAAGGAAGTACCCCTTATTTGGATTCAAATTAAAATACTAGAAAATCAAATTCCCACCAATTCAAATTATGAAAAATCGGTTTTAGTGTAAAGTACGATTTAGGCTAAAAATAATGGCTCATTAAGTCAATATATACTTCGTACTAAAATTTCATAAAATCAAGTTTTCTTATTTGATGTGTGAGGAATAAAAGCCGCCAAAAATTATCTTGAGAAAATGATTATTTTGAAAACCCATTTTTCATACTTACACTACCAAAAACGTGAGTATTAGGGGCAGTAAATTAGGGGCGGAAATAAGGATCTGCCTCTATTAATGTTTATTAGGGGCGGAAATATGAACATGCCCCTATAACAATAATAGGGGTGCATAGTAAATGCCTCTATTAGTTTTATTACCTATAGGGGCGCTAAACGATGCCCCTATAAAGTTCAATTATTAGAGGCTAATAAGATTGGCCCCTAATGACTTTTATTAGGCGCGGATGAATGTTTTTATTTTTTAAATTTAATTATTTCTTTTCAGGGGCTGATTTAAGTAAATAAAAAAAGAGAGATTAATCTAAACCCTAATTCTCCAACACCAACGCACCCACTTCCCCTATTTCTCTCTTCCTCTTCTTCCAGCGCCGCACAACCCTTCATCTCATTTTTTTTTTCATTTTCATTCTTTCTTAGTTCTTCTCTTTGTTCCTTCATTTTTGCTCTTGTCTAGCTCTGAAATCGTTCTCTCTTCTTTTCTTCCTTCTTCGTCATCTTTTCTTTCCCATTTCTTCTTATTCTTTCTCCCTTGCAATATTCACTTGGTGTATCTGAGAAAGTGAAAGAAAGAGCACAAGAAAGCTTTGCAATAGAGAAAAGAAAAACTCAATTTGTATTCTTTAATCCATGTTTTTTTATTATTCTTTTTTAAGTTTTCATTTTTGCAGGTACATTCCACAGGTTTTGAAGAATTTGGAGTGGAATGGTGAATAATTTATTGAATAATTTTAATCATTTGATTGATTTTTCCTCAAGGTTTGTTCATACAAATTATACGACTGTTCTTTTTTTGTTTAAAATTTTGGTTAATGTTAGTCTATTAATTGTTGATATATTGTTAATTAACAGTTGCTGATCTAGAAAAGAGGAATCGTTGAAATGCTTCGTGTGCTGCAGTAAAATAAGAAGAAACGCTTATAGATTTCCTCTGTAAAGCTGTGTTCGAGTTGAGTGGATGTGGGTTTGAAATTCAAACTTGTATGGAAGAGAAAAAGGGGAAAGAAGAATAATTTGGATCGTTTTTGTAAATTTTGAATTCAAAACACAAAATTTGTGTTTGAGTTGAGCGGCTTTTGTGTTTTGTGTTTTTTTTAAAATTAATAATTGAAAGTATTAGGGGCGGATGTTTGCGCCTGTAATAAAGACCTTTAGGGCATGTTTACGTATCAGTAATGAAGAAAGTAAGGAATCAGAGAATTTAGGAATCGGGGAACTACTGAATCGGTATGGGAAGAATCATTCCCATTAAGCTGTTTACTAAACATATGGAATTAGAAAAGGAATGGGGTTGATTCCCATTGTTATTGTTTACTAATTTTCATGAATCAGAATCCAAATTAATTTGATTACTAAAATGCCCTGCACATTTTCACCACAGCACATGTATAATTCTCAAATTGTCTAAGGAGACCAAACTAATCCAGTAGAAAACTAGTAAGGCAGTGTAAACATGAGGAATCAATATGTTGAACAAGATGCACAACAAGAGGCTAGTTCAATGATAATGTTAATAACACCTTTGTCAAGATCCAATTTCAAACGAAAAAATAAACTCCAATAAATATATATCTTTCACCTACGTAACTAGTAAACAATCAAATAATAATGACCTGCATAATCTTCATACTACCAAAAAAAGAGATATATAATCTCCACAAAAGTCTTTATCTATGACCGTACTATGTTTTGTGATGAATGTGAAGACAGAAGATAGATAGATAGAATGATTTACATAACAAGGCGTTGCTGCTGCTAATGGGAGGTTGTGTCTACAACGATAACGTGAAAATGAAGTTGGAGCGTCTTGGTACTTCTTAGCATGAGTTTTTATTTTTATTTTAGGGTTTGGAGTGTTTTGTAATTATGGTAAAGTAGTAAAGGTATTTTTGGAAGTTATTAAAAGAAAACAAGAATGGGAATCGTATCGACTACTCCCCCCTAGGTGATTTGATACCCAGTTTTTAGGGGATGTGATTACGGATTTTGAGGTGGGGCCCACTTATTTTTTTATTCCTGATTGCAAGTAAACGCAGGGGAAGTCAGGAATGGAAATCATTCCCTTTCCTCCCATACCCATTACTGATACGTAAACATGCCCTTAATGTAATCTACCAACATGGCAACACAAATAGTAAGGGCGGATCTTTGAGATTTTCTGCCCCTATTAACAATAGAGGCGCTTGTATTAGGGGCCCATTCTCTTTATGCCCCTCCTTCTCATTAGGGGCGGTTTTGCAAGATATCTGCCTCTACAAGTGCTTTTAGAGGCGACTATTAAATGCCCCAAATACTCATTTTTTTGGTAGTGTTAGTCAGTATTTTTACATAAAATAATTTTTCATGTATGATATGAATGCATGAAGGAACCTATTTGGTTTATTTTTACTAAGCACCTTAAACTGCTTAACTTTAAAGGGAATTGTTGTATTATTAACCGGCACAAGTAAATGTGCAAACAACCAATTAAAAATACCAGCAAGTGCACGAATCTATTGAGGTATAGATTATGTAAGTACGAGGTCGATCCCACGAGGAACTATCGGCTTCCTATAAGTTCTAATTTGAGTACGTAAAGAACACTAATTTAACACACCACACATGCACAAATGCAAAATGGGAACTGAAAATGAGTAAAGAAATGTAAAAGGAATGAAACAAAACAAGAAATCAAGGAAGAACACAAACAGTAATTTCTATCACCCTTTTATCACCACTGTATCATCTGTGAACAGTGCGTGAACAGTGGCTGGCGACCGGTCGGTGAACAATGACGACTGGTCGGTTTTTTACAGAATCGTTGGCGATCGGTCGGTGAACGGTAACGACCAGTCGGTTTTTTACAGAATCGTCGGTGACCGGTCGATGAATGGTGACAACCGGTCGCTTGCCCTATTTTTGCAGTTCCGACCTCTGTTCGGTTTTTAACCTATAACTTCCCAATCGTATGTCCAAATTTCACGTTCTTTATACGGTTGGATTCAGCACACAAAAACGAAGAACACAGGGTGGATAAAAATCCAAAATCAAGTACAAAAGCAGACAAAAAGCGATGACCAAATACACCACGCTTCAAACAATGTAAACACACAAACACAATTTTGGGGGAGCATTTTAAATTAAGTGCTCAAGATTGTCCTTCTACGGATGATGAGAAAGAAGAAACGAACAAAGTTCCATATGCAAGCTTGGTAGGGTGTCTCATGTATGCAATGGTGTGCACACGCCCCGACTTAGCCCAAGCCGTAAGTGTGGTGTCAAGGTACATGGCGAATTCGGGCAAACAACATTGGACAGCAGCAAAGTGGATTCTCAGGTACTTGAAGGGCACCAAGAGGATTGAGATATTGTTTGAAAGACAACAAGGAAAGGCATGTGTGTCGAGTTATGTGGATTCCGATTATGCAGGAGATTTAGACAAGAGGATATCCACCACGAGATATGTCTTCATTTGTGGTGGAGGACCGATTAGTTGGAGAGCAGTGTTACATTCGGTTAGTGCCTTGTCTACTACAGAAGCGCAGTATATGGCGCTAACGAAAGCTTCAAAGGAAGCGGTGTGGCTGAAGAAATTGGCAAAGGAATTCAGAATAGCTCAAGACTTGGTGGTGATACAAAGTGACAGTCAAAGTGCTATATACTTAGTGAAGAATCAAGTGTTCCATGGAAGGTCCAAACACATTGATGTACGGTACCACCGGATAAGAGATTGGGTGAACGATGGGGACATCAAGATAAGGAAGGTTCATACAAATGAGAACGCTTCAGATTGTCTAACAAAGCCAGTCACAACAGCAAAGTTCAAGCATTGTTTGAGCTTGCTCAATCTTGTTCCATGCTAAAGATTGAGGTGGAGTTCTTGAGAGTTATCGGGACGATTCTCAAGACATTAGAGCAACTCCACCGAGGCCCCCTTGCCTCGGGCTGGGGGAGTTTTTAGCAAAAATGGGTTTCCA